AACTTTCTTAAGTTTGACTAGATTTTTAGAAAATGTTATCGACATTTATATCTCCAATTGACTTTATAATGGAAATATATTCAACGATTCATCTAATGATACTAATTATGCATCATAAATATTAATATTTTCTTATATATATTTAGTCAAAGTTAGAAATATTTGACTTCTCAGGAAGTGAGAATGACACTCTTTCTAGGACAGATGGAGCATGTCATTAATATATGAACTATGATGGTTGGCTGTTGTATAATTGGTGAAATGTGATTTCTTATCTCTGTTATTTTTCATTATACTATGAAGTATGTATACATGAGTATATAACACTTCTAAATATGTATTATAATATTATCTGCTTACTTGTGGTGACAACGTGATGTGGTTGCTGTTGCGGGCACGAACAACTCGTTGGGTACCAATGACCCGAGTGGGCATGAGTCTGAGCTCAAAATTAGACCCGTGACGGGTCATGGGTTTTTTAACGAGCACATTTTTTGTTCATGGGCATGGTTTTGGATTGACAAAAGCCAACGGGTTTGTGCCCATTGCCATCTCTGCCATGGAGCCACTACATGCTATTCTAGACAAGTCAAGATTACTTTAGTGCTTGGATTGTGCTTATTAATCGTGTTACAACGGAAGAAGTTTCACAGATAGTAGAAGTTTTGAAAATATTGAAATTGTATTTATAAGTATACGACTTCGATAAATGCCATGTCACATGCTCTAAATTGAAAAAAAAACAATAGAATTCGGTTAGCACATTCTTGGTGGAGTGGCTTTTGCAACAAAATCGAGTTGGGTGGGTATTTGAGACAAGACATCTTATGGGTTAAGTCTAAAAAAACCATATGAGGCGGTTTTTGCAATGCTAGCTACTCTCATTTTGATATTCCACGTCATAAGACCTTTGGTTACAAAAACAGACCCCTATTTGTTTTATTGCAAAAACCACCTCAACATTCAATTCTAAGACCGTTTTTTTGACATACTGGAACTAATTTATCAAAGTTAGATACTTATTAAAGTACAAACATGATATTTTTCACTGCTTCACCAAAAGAGTCACTAACGAAAACTCTGTGCTTCGGTAGTGAAGTTGTTTTTTTACTTCAACTCCAAGAGCAGCTCCTCTAGTCAAGCTAAAACTGTTTTGTGATGAAACAGCTTCTCATAGTAGACATAAGGATAAAATGATCATAACATCGTTCTTTTTTAATTTTCCCTTCACCTCCTATTTTTTCTTCTCTCTCCTTATCCACTCAAGCGCCTCTCTCATCCATCCAACCATCCAATCTCGTATTTCTTCTTCTCTCTGTTTGTCCACTCGGGCGCCTCTCATCCATCCGCTCGCTCGCCTCCAGCGCGTCCGCTTGGGCGTGTTCGCCACCGCATTTAGTCGAGCGCATCCGCCTTGCCCGCTTCCTGTGTCCGCTCGGCCGCTGCGCCATGCCTATGCTTTGGGCACCCCTATGTCCTTGCCCACTTCAGCGCCTTCGTCCCACCCACCCGCCACACGCGTTGCCCACACAGAGTAGGATAGTTTGGGGAGCGCCCACGCGGCCAGACGAGAAAGTTAGTTTTTTCGGCTTCACGACATGCCAGCACGCTGTGAGAGCGCATTTTATGAAGCACCTAGCAAATGAGCCATTTGGTATAAGGAGCTGAAAACAGGCTTCAGAAGCTGATTGAGAATCCCTACCAAAGGGGCCCTAAGGTAGCCACACCGATTCTTGCTATTTGCGAAATTTTCTTCACAATGAGTAAGTATAAACACACTTGCATCCACTGGCATGGCTTAGCAAAAATGGATGGACTCAGCTATAAGCACAAAAGTAGTTTTAAAGACTAAGTGTTTGGTTCAACTTTTTAAAAAGTGCTTCTACTGCCAAAAAGCATAACACCAACCAAACGAGTAGAACCGGAAGGTGCCTTTTCCATTTGGCTTATAGCTTTCTACTTTTTCAAATGGTGGAAATAGAGAGACGTTTTACAATTGTTTTAAGGAAGATAAAGAGTGGGTAGGTTTTATAGTTGTTTTAACCAAACAACTTAGTTTTTTGGCGGAGCATAGCTCAATATTTTTTAAAACCCATAGCTCAAAATAATTTTATCACAGCTCACGGTTGAATCAAAGAGACCCTAAAACTGAACCGCAGTACACACCCTACTCTACCACTGAAAGAACAATGTCATAAAATCGTGAATAAATCTAATGAAAGAACTACCCGTAAACCACTTAAAGATACATATCCTCTCTATAAGCAACTTCATATAAAGATATACACCCCACTTCTATGAAAAACTATACGTATGCTTCGTTGTCGAGAAGCACGTGCGTTGTCTAAATTTTATAATACATCTAGGTAAAAAATAACATTATAATTAAAACTTTAGAAAAAAATCTAGGAAATATATGAGCACCCACATCAATTCGATAGCTCGAACGCTGGTGGATGATAGAGCTCCCTGCAAGGAACCTAACCACCTAAGGTAGGTTCAATTCGCCAACCTATTTCTTTTACATCATGTATTAAACTCGTTTACTTTTAGCGCATTAGATTAGTCTTTTCGTGCAATCCCGGATGGCCCTAGATGACGACGACGCTTATATTTATTTATTTTTTAATATAAAATTGAAAAGAGAGCTCGCGGAGGTAGGCTCTTGACCTATTGACAGCCACACATGTACTACCAACTGGTATTGGTATGACTCACTGAACATGCTCCTGTGTCCGTCCCTATGTAAGTGGTCAGTGACGCCAGTGACGGTCACTGTCTTCGTAGATAGGAGTACGTAGCATGGTGCTACGCCAGCTAATATGTGATTGGTTACAGAATAATTTAACTTATGACTATATCAACTTACGATAATGTTTATGCTCCTTCTATCTTAAAAAATGCAAGAGAAATTGGATTGTACATATTTTTTATTTTGATATTGATTTTGATATTCTAGGTTTAAGTTTACTCAAATTTTCTAAAATTTGACCTACTTATTATAGCAAAAATATATCAACATATATCTCACCAATAGATCCTATGAATATATATTTCATAATAATAATCAATCTATTATTTGATATAGAAAATATTAGTACTTTTTTGTAGAGGTGGCTAAAATTGAAATTGTTTGAATTCTCCAGAAATGATAATTGCATATTTTTAGACAGAGGGAGTAGTACTTTACAATAAAGTGAATGCATGATTATCATAATGATATTTATCATAGTGGCTCTGTTCGCTTCCGCTGCAGTTTTTGAACTGCTAGGTATTGTAGCTTGAACTACTGCAGCTCGCAAGCGAACAAGTCTATGTTTAAGGGTGTGTTTGGTTGAGCTGTCTTTTGAAAAAACTGTTGTAAGCTGTGGGCTATGAAAAAGCTATTGCGGGTTGTGGTCTATGGAAAAGTTGTAAGCTATTTGGTTCAAACAAGTATAAAAATTACCTCCTATCTCTATTTTCTTTGAAACAACTGTGAAATGACTCTCTATTTGTACTATTTCAAAAATGCAGAAAGCCAGGAGCCAAAAACAGGGCCTAAGATGCTTTCAAAATTATATTATCCAAAAGTAGCTACCTCTGAAAAAGCAACTCCTAGTTTCCACCTCTTTGGTTGACTTTTGGCTTAAGTAGCTCCTAAAAGCCCAAATCACTGAGGAGGAGCTATACTAATTTTATAAATATTCGTTATGATAACTCAAAGTGACCACAAAATGAGTTATTTATAGTTGACCACAAACTATTATGTGTTTTTTTTGAGAGAACAGGATAGATTAGAGGTTTATCCCTACTGGATTATATTAAACGCAACAAAGAGAGTACAAAAAAGCATAATTTGACGCATGCTCGATCGATACAAGAGTTTGCGGGTTAACACGAGCTTTGCATCGATCTATTATGCTATGAACAATAGTGTACTAATTCTGTGATGTTGTAGCTGCCCCAGAGGTGCTGGAGTGCGTGGAGCGGGGAAGAATGCCCATCACACATGAAGCCTCATATCCTTGCAGTCAAACGTGGATCTCCTGCGTCCAAGCCTTCCTCCATGAGTGGACGAAATGGACCCGTATTTCCATTTTCACCTTTTGGGAACATTCAAGAAAGCAACCCATGTCGCAGCATGATTCACATGATTATTCTTCGTGCACCAACAAAATTCAACCAGAGGAAATTTTCAGTTCCTGCTTGAAATCAGATTAAAGGACATATTTTCAGTTCCTGCTTGAAATCAGATTAATACAAAACTCAAAAGGTATCTGGTGACAGGGTGTGATCTGCACGCTCATTCCTTAAGCATCAGAGACAGGGTGAGCATAACTTACCAGTTGATGATAAATGTTCCATTATTTTTGCATTTTTGTAGAAGATTGTATGAAAAGCACTCAAAAAGGAACTTGTGTAGCTTTTGTGATGCAAAAGTTAGTTAAAAGAAGACTACACACACGCACTAGTAAATTACTGACGATCAACCAGTACAGCACAAACCACCAAATCGATCCACAGAGGAAAGAAAAAAAAGCATGTTTGCACAGAAGAATCACCCAAGATGCATGCATGTATTGCTTGGCAGGGCATGGCGAATGGGGAGTCGCCAAATGATCCAGCCCTTGGACGGACGAGAAAGGTGGCTCCGGATCCTCCACGTAAGAATCCCTCCCATCTCATATCTCTTGCCCCCCTCTCATTGGCCGCATCCGCATCACGGCGCGCGCGTACTTATTCTCCCCCGCCCTAGCTCCTCTCCTTCTCTTCTCCTCCACACACCAAGCCTGCCCGCCGAGCCGATCGAGCACACATCATCATTCTCTCGCAAGGCACGCGTACGAGCGAAGCGAGAGAGCGGCCGGCCGGGCAAGCAAACAAGCAAGTGGGGGGGGCGGGAGAGAGCTCACAAATTACACAGGGAGGTGTGGTGGAAGCTGGCCGGAGGAGGAAGAGGGGTCGTCAAGATAGTGAGTTCATATATTCATACGTGCGGCGACGTCGGCGTACGTAGGATGTCGGCGTCGGCGTCGAGCGCCGCGTGCCGCGTATGCGGTGGCGGCGTAGGGGAGTGCGCGTGCCACCAAGGCCATGGGATCTGCGGCGGCGCGCGGTGCGGGGTCGCTGTCGCGGACCTCAACCGCGGGTTTCCCGGGATGTGGCACCAGCCGGAGGAGGAACAACCCAGCGTCGTCGGCAGCGGCGCGGCGGAGGCGGCGGCGGGGCTGCATGAGTTCCAGTTCTTCGGCCACGACGAGGACCACGACAGCGTGACGTGGCTGTTCAACGACCCCGCGCCCCACCTGCACCGCGGCCCAGCGGCGGCGGCCGCGGTCGGGAACGGGGTGGCCAAGGCTGCAGAGCAGCGGAGAGCGCCGCCGCCGTTGTTCGACGGGTACGCGCACGCGCACGGGCAGTACGGACAGCTGCCGGGTCACGGGCTCACGTTCGACGTGCCGCTGAGCCGGGGCGGCGACATGGCCTCCGCGGCGGTGCTGGAGGCAGGGCTGGGCCTAGGCGGTGGTGGCAGCGGCAATCCGGCGACGACGTCCAGCGCCACAATCGTGAGTGGTTCGGTTCCATCTCTCTCCTGAATCATGCATGCCCCCGTCAAACCAGGCAGGGCTGGGCCTGTTCGCTCGCTCGTAAACGATCGTAAATTTCCAGCCGGAAACAGTGTTTTTCTCTCACACCAAACCAGCCAACAGTAAATAATCCACGATACGATACGGCCTCCCGAACAGACTGATGATATATGCATGGGATTCGTGTTTGTATGTGCACGCTGAACCGCTGATATGTCCTTTCAGGCTTGCAGCACTGCTCGGCCATTTCAGTTTCGAATACATGCATCTTGGTGCAATCTATCGCGCTTGCTTCTTGTTAAACCTCTCGGTTCGTTGTGTCCAGTTAATTGATTGATGCTTGAGAGAGAAAGGAGCGACGCCTGATTTCGCTAGCTTAATTTGAATTGGTACATATCTTTATCTTTATATCTAGCTGTTTGGCCGATTAGAAGTGATTGAAAATGTCAAAATCCGCTGTCAATTTGTGGTCCAATGCTCCAACTAGTAAGGACTAATAAGGAGCTAACTAGTCCAAAACAGTGCACCATCATGACTAATAAGTTACAGTCCGTCATGTGTGTTTTCTTCTCCGTCTCTACCTTTCCAATAGGATAAAGTCACATTATCAAAGCATTACTGTGTTGTATATATCCCCGAAATTACTGAAAATCCTAAGATCAGCATGAATGCTTATTAGAACGGACAGCTCTATCTATCTATGCTAAGAAGAAGGTACAGAAATTGCAAACCATGCATACACACTAGTTTATAGTATAAGCAGATAGAAGGGAGAATAATCACGGAGAACATCAGTTAATTACAGATTTACAGTTGATTTATTTGTTCAGTGGCTAGTGAGAACACTAAAAGGTAGTATGACAACACAAAAAAAAAATTGATTGAGTTTACAATGATGCACAAATGAACTGGAACAAAGGTCCCCGCCCAAATGCAAGGTTTTTGTTTTCCCTTCACCCTTCAGCATCGCTGTCTTTCTGACAACATGATAACCACAACTCCACAAGACCTTGCCAAACGCAATATTCTTTCTTTCTTTCTTTCTTGCTATTGCTATCTGTCCATGATCAACAAGCTCACGACGGGTCGTGAAGATAACCCTGGCCAACACGCAGCTCAATTATTGATCTATCCCAACTTCTCATTATTTCTGTTGAGTAGTGTTAGGTTACTGAGTGCTGACATAGTGTATCCGATTTCTGAACATAAATCAGAAGCGATGTTATGCATCGGACCTAGCTCTTGTCCAATAGGAGTAAGGTTTCATTTACCGGGGACGACAGGTGTATCTGAAATTAATCACACGGCTGATCAACTAATCTAGATAAAGTAATGTTGTGGGACCATATTTGTGCATTATATAATTGATAGCTCAGTTGATGGTATAATTTTTTTTTGGAAGCCACGTGTCGTCCATCAAGGATACGGGTCCATCTGAGAGAATTGGACCCCTGGTCAATGAAATTCTGCTCCATTATTTATGATCAAATTAGGATGGCGTTGTTTACATGCACCTAGGAATGTAAGTGGCTAAGTGGATACCTAATAAAGATGTTTTGTGGGTCAGCTACTCTAGTTCGTTTCTTCCCCTACATGATGGCTACATGCATGTTGGACTTACATCCCTACATGCATCGGTGCCTTATTATGTTCGACACGTCCTTTTTCAGATGTCCTTCTGCGGGAGCACGTTCACTGACGCGGCGAGCGCCGTCCCGGGCGACGCGGCTGCTGCAGCGGCCAACGGCGGCAGCGCGAGCGGTGCCGACCCGGCGGTGGATCGGGAGGCGAAGGTGATGCGATACAAGGAGAAGCGGAAGAGGAGGCGCTACGAGAAGCAGATTCGGTACGCCTCCCGCAAGGCCTATGCAGAGATGCGGCCGCGCGTCAAGGGCCGGTTCGCCAAGGTGCCCGACGGTGAGGCTCCGGCGCCACCAGCGCCGGCCGCAGCAGGCTACGAACCAGGCCGGCTCGACCTCGGATGGTTCCGTTTATAGCAAAGACCTATATATTTCGGTCAGAGCATTATAGCTAGCATATAGGCCATTGGTTAATTAAGGGTACGAGATAAATACGCACGAAATATTAAATGTATATGCGATCGATGCACGACTAGCTTAGCTAGCCCTGAAAAATATATATACGTACACACACTGCTGGTATCGATACTAGCGGTATAATAATACGTTAAATACTAGCAATATCAAGGTACCCAGTACAATCGCACTGGTAGCTAGTAGTCTTTTTATCACTACCACAAAAAACGATTTTTGGAGACGGCTATCTGATTAACGGAGGCGAGTACATTAACAGACCGCCTCATTAAATAGTCAGGTGGCCTCCAGGCAAACGGGTGCCTCTAAAATCATTAACAAATAACACCCACATCAGTAAATCGATTTCTAGAAATAGACATCTTAAGATGCTTGTCTTTGAAAATCTTCTATTAATAGAGACCACTATCCTAAGTGTCCATCTCTAAAATCGATTATCTAGAAATAATCCATAATTTTTTCATACAAACTCAGATAAAGATAATTTTTTATCAAAATTGTAGCTCTCGGCACGATCTACAACTTTATAGTTGAGAGGTTTTTTATTTGCAACCTTTTAGAGTCCAAAAATAATGTTTTACATTCACAGATTTTAAAATTTAAAATTTAAAATTTTCAAACAACTTAGATCTTGACATGGTGTATACCAAAGTTGTTATCAATAAAACCGAGTACAACTTTGTAGTAATTTTTTTTATTTGAAGTCATTTAGAGTCCCAAATATGTGTTTTAAGTTTATAGATTTTAAAATTTAAAATTTAGAATTTCTAAATGACCTTGAATGCTCACATAGTTACTATCAAAGTTGTGCCAATCTTATCTACATGTTTGTTGTTGATAAGTTTTTTATTTGAAGTTTTTTAGTGTCTCAAATATTTGTTTTAAATTCACATATTTTGAGATTCAAAATTTTGAATTTTTCAAACAATCTCGGATGGAGACACCACAGCTTCGGTATTAGATATGTCGGCTCAAGCCATTGAAGTAGCTGCAGGTCGACAAGATCGTTAAGCCAACATCCATCGCCATCCCAAGCCTTCCTAGACAAACTATAGAACTATCATTAATACCAGTGCCCGCTAATGCCAGACTTACAACTTATGCAGCTCTACCACCAAATATGGACAATGATCTCACAAAAAAATAACTAAAAAAATCAACAATGTCAGCACAAAATGGGGGCGTAGAACTCTTCAATTGTAGTAGCAATTTTCTCTGTTCAATGAAATCCAACACCCTTCAAACACCCAGGGTGGTGCATGCATACGCCCAACAAGCCCACCTAGCAATACTAGAAAAAACACCCTTAGAGGCATTTAATTTATACATTAGATGCACTTTATTTCATCTCTACAAGAACATAGGCACATTTTTGTAAAGTGTGTTAAAATTGTTTTCGCATGGACTGTGTTAGGACTTATAGGGACGAATTCTCAAAGCGTATCAGGTCTATTTGTGTAGTTATGTTGTATAGCGCTTTATTATGTGTGTTAAGAAATATAAATACATTCTCATAGATATAACTATAAATGTAGAAACGTTCTCATAAATTCAAATATATAGTGTATGTACCAATGTAGTCATATTGTGCAGCGACACCAAATTATGTATGAAGAAGTATAGAGACAGTTTAGTAGATACATTTATGTTTTGTGTCTACCAAACACCAATATAGATACATTGTATAGCAACACCATTTTGCGTTTCAAAAAATGTAGAGACATTTTATAAGTACGTTTATATTTTTTGTCTATTAGCATGAAATGGTCCTTTAAAATGGTTCAAACCGTGTCTTCAATATGAAATCAAATTTTGAATGAAATTTGTAGGTGACGAAATGTATATCTTTATTTTAAAATTACCCATATCTAATTTCAAATATAAAATTTGAAATCAAACATGTTGAGACTGAAGGACCAAAATGGCAACCAAAGTAAAGGTGAATGAGAGCCACTAAAAATTCTTTATCGAATGCATCCTTGGCCTATATCCCAGTTATGACTATTGAGCCTGGCTTGGCCTAGCCTAACCCGAGCCCGACATATTTTAGCCCACTCATGAGTCTTAGTGGATAGGGCCTGGGCATAGGTCCAGCTGCCCAAAAAAAATTTCTTAGCCCAAGCACGACCTAAAGTATTTCTTTTATTTGTTTTCCAACTAAAAAAACAGCGGGCAACTCGCTTAGACCTGGGCATAGCCTGGAAAATGCTGGCCCAACTCATCCGTGGGACGGTTGTGGTCAAGATTTTTTGGCCCAAAATAAACAGTGTTTTTTTTTGGCCCAGCTTGGCCCGAAAAATACTCAAAGTCTAATTTGACCAAACGTCACTCTCTCCTAATCACCAAAGTGACATAAGCCAACTACTGATGTGCTCACCCTAGAAATAATTAAGTATTTCTTAAGGTATTGCGAGTCAGTTAATCCATTAAAAAATTGCTGTAACCAAACAAGCTAACAACACAACAACAGCACCCAAGAAATGTGAAATATTAAACCAAGTGCCAATTCAGAAGAGACATGCTGGCATTAAATAAACCAAGTACACTGTGCACGAAAGGCTTGACTAAAGAAACCATAGCAAAAAAATTGAAAGGCATTTAGGATGATGCATTGATCCACACTACTGTGACAAGCTATGAGCAAGCAGAAAGATCAAATCTTGTACTTTGGAGCACACAGAGCTACTAGGACAGAGCATCTACAAACAAGATGGCATGTCGGTTGAGGAGCTCACTAAATTCACGAAAAAGATCAAGCTCCATATCACACAGGATACAACAGATAAACTAATGCTATGCACTAATGCTCAAGTGACAATTGAACTGATTATTTTCTAGCATCATAGCAATCAAGACAAAAGCAAAGTTTTGTAAACAAGGAAACAGAGCACTGCAGTCCTGCTGCACCATTGTTCCTGTCAGACTGAACAAAGATAATGCACAGATGAATGTAAGTCCGTTAACCTGCTACTCACCTGAGGAAAATAAAGCCTCGAGCTGCTGGGATGGTGTTGCCATGAGCTGATTGGTGGCTGCACTACTGCCACCAAGCTGCACAGCAGCTGCTGCTATTGACCGAAACAAGTAGAACAGAGAACAGCCTGCAGACTAAACAACAACCAAACGCCACAGACATTTACTAAATCCAACTAAGGGACCATTCGGTTTCCTAAGATTGTACCGAGAACGATTCCAACTCCTCAAGATTAGTACAAATTATTGAATCATTCCACCTAGGAATTATTCCAGGGCCCTATTCCAAATCAACCGAACAAGCCCTAAACACAACTTGGATTGACATGGAATTTTCACAGTAGCCTCACCACATCACAAATGATTCATTCCAACAAAAACATCTAAAAAGATTTAGACTTCAACTCCAATTTCAGAAAACCAAAGAACCTTAAGTTAGAGGAGAAATTTATGAAAAACTCAAATTCGTGGTGCTCAAGTGAGAGATTAGATGGAGAATCACCATAGCTTTACTCGAATGTGTCCTAGCACTGATTTGCCCCAAATTGTAGCCAAATAATAAGAATGAAAAAACCTAAAAAATAACTCCTAAAATCACATGAAAAGAAAAACTTCAGATTTGTGGAGGGGGTCAAGTGGAGCTCAAAATGGATCTTTGAACTACGTCATGAGGTCCGATTACAAGCCACTCCTAGCAGATCAAAGCTTAGGATGACAAAAGACTCAATCAAAGTCTTCTCTCTCTCTCTCTCTGACCCTAACTAAAAAAATCTCAACCTAACAAATGAAAGCCTAATCTCCGAGCTTAGCCCAAATACCACCCAAGAGTAAAAGCGCCCAAGTTTTTCTTCAATGATCCAATAGACTCGGTGCCTTTTCAACTCCATTTCACCTCGACGCAAGCTCCGAGATTCCACCACGTGTCTGTCGATCCGTCTCCCTGATTTTGAGACATAATATGGTCAAACCTGCCACCGATGGTATTGAGGCACAATCCACCAAACCATCCTTGCTTGTTTTAATGACTAAAATCGTGTCAAAATACAATTCTAAACTTTGAACTAGTATGTGAAATCCAACCTAGCCGACTTCTATACCTGGCCTAATATGTTTCTACGGAGTGAATCTTCCCAAGCTACAATTTTCTTAGACTTCAAATTAGATGTTCTATATATGCTTTTCAATCATCTCGAAGAGAGGAACGAAATGGTGAAATCTATTCTACATTATGACAACTTTACCAAACCCCGCCTAACTAGGGCTGGGCACAATTAATCGAAAACCAAACCGAACTGATCGAGAATGAGACCGAAATTATTTTTGGTCACTAGTTCAGTCTTGAGTCCATACTAACCAAACTTTTAAGGCAGATTCGATTATATGCCTTAGAAAACTGAGCTAACCGAACATTTGGACTTTGTTGTCATAATGCATAATTTGGACTGTTATTACTGATGCAATATTACTTTTGGTGGGTTTGTATCAACTATCACTCTTTTTATCACTAGTATATGGCGCGCACGTGGGCGAAGAGAGCATGCCTGTTACTGATAGGAACATATGGCTAAAGAACTAGAAATATATGTTTGGTTTGCTGACCGTAAATATCCATGGTACAGACGGTTTTTTTTAACCGCAGAAGTTAAAGAGGAGTACATTAGTATATACTACACGGCGTACTGGAATTATATTTTACATACTGGGTGGTTGACAAGTATATATTTACTAACTTTACAGCATAGTGCAGTAAGTATACTTGAAGCAGCGATATTAATATAGAAACACCAAGTCCACGACGAAGGTTCTAAACAGGATTAGGCGTTATTTCCCAGGAGTCGTTGCTATGTACAGAGGACTGAAATGGTAAGGTGACAGGTGTCTCTGAGATGCAAAATATAACCTCAGCCATCTTGTTCTGTGGCATAACTCCCTGCATCAAGGAACATAATCAACGAAAAATAACAGAGAAA